TGACCCCTTAGGCCTTTCTGCAGAACTGCTACCTAGCCATTCGGTCCCTAGTCTGTAGCAGTTCATAGGATTCTTCCGTCCTAAGTGCAGGACTCTGCACTTGTCCTTGTTGAACCTCATCAGGTTTTTTTGGCCCAATCCTCTAATTTGTCTAGGTCCCTCTGTATCCGAGCCCTACCCTCCAGTGTATCTACCACGCCTCCCAGTTTAGTGTCATCTGCAAACTTGCTGAGAGTGCAGTCCACACCATCCTCCAGATCATTAATAAAGATATTAAACGAAACCGGCCCCAGGACCGACCCTTGGGGCACTCCACTTGAAACCGGCTGCCAACTAGACATGGAGCCATTGATCACTACCCATTGAGCCCGACGATCTAGCCAGCTTTCTATCCACCTTACAGTCCATTCATCCAGCCCATACTTCTTTAACTTGGTGGCAAGAATACTGTGGGAGACCGTATCAAAAGCTTTGCTAAAGTCAAGGAATAACATGTCCACTGCTTTCCCGTCATCCACAGAGCCAGTTATCTCATCATAGAAGGCAATTAGGTTAGTCAGCCTTCTCTCACTTTGCACACACAGAAGAGGTGTCAAGAAGTATCTACCTAGGTAGATTTAAATGGCCTGCTTCCACCAATAGCCAGACACCAGGTCAAACCCGCCTGATAATTAACTAGATCCCTATGGGCCCAGTCCAGTGGGCAGCAAGCTCTTCCCAGGTGGCGGGAGAGGAAGCGAAAGAGGGAGTGATGCTAAATACTCTATGCCCCCACTGCTGTGCTGTCACTCAGGAGGTGCCCTCCCCTATCTAAGCTCTCAAGCAGGCTCTGGTAGAAGTGTGTTGCGTGGGGGTGGGGGCGGGATACAAGTTTGGGACGGGGTGGACGGAGACGTAGCCAATGATGTGCTAAGACTAGTCTTTTTATGTAGAATCCCAGCCACGAGTCCTCATCAAGTAATAGAGTCTACAGGGCTGCAAGAAGCATCGTAAAAAATATAGACAAGAAAAGATCATTTCTCTAGCAAAGTGTATGTGCGTGAGATTGAGAACAATGTCCGGGTCACCCAGAGCTGCTCTTTAGTGGCCCGCTGGACTTGGCGCCCTGGTTTTGTGAGACCATCCCCTCTCTTGCCATGTCTTGCAGAGAGATCACCTCACCGGCCCATCCTCCAAGCTGGGCTGCCCGCTAACAAGACCGTGGCCCTGGGCAGCAATGTGGAGTTTGTGTGCAAAGTTTACAGTGACCCACAGCCCCACATCCAGTGGCTGAAGCACATAGAGGTCAATGGCAGCAAGATCGGACCCGATAACTTACCCTACGTGCAGATCCTGAAGGTAACGTCCCATTCTGGGTGGGCCCGTTTAGTTTCCTTCACAGGACGAGCCGGGAATGGAGCTGGTGAGGTGGAGATGAATTGGGGGAGGAAGCCATTTGGGATGGAACTGGCGTATCAGGAACGGGGCAGAGGGATGATGTTTGCTACCATTCAGACTGGGTTAGGTATCAGTCTCCTGACCAGCTGAGCCAAAACGATGGGACATGCAGAGCCTTCTTCTGTTCTCTCCTCCCTCCAAAGCCTGGAGCAGAGGATAGTGGGTGGTTAGGTCAGGAAGGTGCTAGTCTTTTCAGCAGAATGTGGATGAGAGATGCCCTCCCCGAAGCACCAAGTTAAACTAAATACACTGGTGTAGAGTGACTTGGGAAGCAGAGAGTGGGGTTGTCTTAACTGGCCCAGGAACAGACTGTCAGTGAAGCATTCAGTGGCCCTTGGATCTGCAGGCTCAGAGATGCAGCGGGCTGGGGCAGGGTCACTCCTATTCTGTGAATTGTTATTTTTAAAATAGCGAATGTAGAAAGCAAGATAATAGCTCAGGTGAGCCCGGCTCCCTTAGCCCCCACCACGAGCCTGGAATTCCACTTCAAGAGAGCCAAGTTGCTGCACAGCAGAGAGCAGAAGCAGCTGATGTAACCCTGCCTTGCACATGGCTCTCTGCTGTGTTGTACTTAACACCAGTCTGTGCCACTTAAAGCAACCCACTGTGCCCTTTATCCAGTGGTTTCATGGCCACCTTGGTACCCCACCCCGAATCTGTTCCTTGTCAAGCAGGGCATGTTCATTCATCTGGGAGCTCTGGGGATGCCCATGTGTTTATTCAAAGGGAGGAGAGAAAGGTTGTGCTGTTGCTGACTTCCTGCACTGGTCACCAAATTGTCATAAGCCAGTGCATCGGTCAGCTGTTTCAATGCACAAGCCCTTCTTCGTTAAACCTATAGGCACCTCGGGGCTGTGTGTGTCTGGCTTGTTATCAGACCCTTGTACTTCTGCAAACAGACACCACCACTGCTTGATATGGGGGATGGGGCACAGAGGACTTGCGCTAGTCGCCCCTTGATTCAGCGTCTGGGCAAGGCACTGATGATGTGATTGATGTTGATCTTGGGGCTGCAATGTCCGACTGTGTCAATGTGACTCCTGTGTTGTTGGTTTGTTCTAGCACTCAGGAATTAATAGCTCTGATGCGGAGGTGCTGACCCTGTATAATGTGACAGAGGCCGAGAGCGGGGAGTATATTTGTAAGGTTTCCAATTATATTGGCGAGGCTAACCAGTCTGCGTGGCTCACTGTCACCAGACCCATGGCAAAAGGTAAACTGAAGAACACCAACTGGGATCTTACTTGGACAGTCAGTCCCTAGCGGTGGAAAACAAAACTCTGGGCTCTCTTGTTTCTGCTATATTTCTGGTGCCACAAGCCATGGAAAAATACTCGCAGTGGCCAGTTTAGTTTTGTGCTCTGTGTCGCTTGCCCGCCTTCCCCTCCTGGATGTTTCTCCCCTGCGCGCTCTCACTGTATTAGCAAAACACATTGTATAGGTGCATCTAAACCATCTCAGCATCTTCCTGGTGAAACACAAGCTGTCACTTCTCGCTCCAGCTGCGTCTTTTCCAGCGCATCTGGGCTTGGGATCTTTGCTGAGTTAGATCCCCTCCAAAATAAAGATGTGATTCAGCCATATTTTGCTCATGTCTCCTCGCTTTCAAACCTCGATCTATGCACCAGATCTGACTGTGACAATACAGTGTTGTGTTCTCCCCTCCATCTCACAGTCTGTCATCTCCCTACCCAAACCCCACTCCTTCAGCTATGTTGTCTTCCATCATGTTTCTCCGCAATCCCATCGCTTCCCCTTGTGCAGTTGTGTCGCATGAAACTAAGCCGGCCCCTTCTTCCTGAGGTCCATTTTTCCATGCAGCCCATCACCAGCATGTTCAGATGGGCAGGAAATTCAGTTTGGTGAAGGGTTTTAACAAACATCTCCTTAGGTCAGCCTGGATCAAAGGTCGTCCTAAGGGTCTCTTTAACAGGTCTACAGTGGTCTCTCTCTGCTACCCGGGGGTCTTGCAAATGAGACACCAGGGCACGTTCCTCCCCCCTCCTCCACCTTGGTTCCTAGAAGATCTCATGTCGTTTGCTTGTCCGTTTTTTGCTTCCATTTGTTTTCTTCTAGACGGCTGGAGTTAACACAACAGACAAAGAAATGGAAGTCCTTCACTTAAGGAATGTCTCATTTGAGGATGCTGGGGAGTATACATGTTTGGCGGGTAATTCTATTGGGATCTCCCATCACTCTGCATGGTTGACAGTTCTCGAAGGTACATACTCCTCCTTCTGCTGTCCTTTCCCCACCTCATTTCCGTGTCTGATGAACTATGCATTGCAGCCTGGGAGAGAGCCTGGGCTTTCCCTTTCCTCCCCGCCCTGGGGAAAGCACAGAGCCTGCCAGTCAATTCTTCCACACCTAGACACCCGGCTTCCCCAGCAAGGGCAGTGCTCTCAGCCACTCTGCCCTGGTACAAGTTAGGACTCAACCCATCCCCAGGGGGTCTCATGCTGCACCTCCCTGTGCAGCTCCTGCTGGTGAGAATCCAAAGCAAGGGGGTAATTTAATGCTGTCTCCCATGCTGGAGCTGGCAGGAGCGTGTGCCCTCTCCGCTTGGTGCCAGGGCCCTGCCTCTTCCCACCTTGAGGACGGTTCAGAATTGGTGGCCATGCCCACCCGCTCTCTCCCTGGCCGAGGCAATGCATATCTCTGATTTACGTGTAACCGGTGGTTCAGTCCAACTAGAACAGGCTGGTTCTGTCCTCTCAGGCAATGCCAGTGTTTTCCATTCCCTGTGCCCCCACGCCGGCTGACCAAAGCGCCGATGCATTAGCCCAGGGCGATAACAGTGTTTTTAGGAACCACCCAGGCCTCTGGCTCCCAAGCGGCTGCCCCTTGGTTTCAGCGGAAGAGGGGATGCAGTGGGTGTCACAGTGCCATATGGCAGCACCTGGAGGGAGTTTGGGAGCGGGGATTGCAGCCTATGGAGGCAGAGGAGTTCTCAGACCCTTCTTGCCAGCCCGGGGGCAGCACAGACTGGTTCTGAAGCCATCTTGAGTGGAAGCGCCGCTCAGTCTGACGCCGGGCCTTTGATAGTAGGGTGAAAGAAGAGGACTGTGGAGGAGGTTCCTGGTCCCCTTTGTCCCCCGAGCCCTCACAAACAGAACTAAGTTAACCAATAATAAATTGGGGAAAGTGATGGGTCAGCTGCAGCCCCCATGCCTCATGCTGCTGTCTCCCCTTTTCCCACCCCCCCCACCGACCCCCTGAGGCGGTTTGAGCATCAGGAGCCCTGGCCTTGCCCTGAGGAGGAACCTGGCCCCTGGGTGCTGGGGTTGCAGCGACAGGTGCTACTTCCTCTGCATGAGCCCTCTGTGGGCAGGTTGTGCTCCTGTCCTGGCATGGGTCTGGCTCAGCCATGCCCTGTGCATGCTGCTTCCCTTTCCCTGACAAGGCCTGATAACTGGCAGCTGCAGGAAGTTTTTGGGGTACGCCTGGTGGTGCTTTTCATACAAAAACTTTCTCCGTTATCAGCCACTTCTCCCTTGTCAGACCTGCCCCGTTCAGAGCTCTGGGATCTGAACAGGAGATGGTGGCTGCTTCTCTCCAGTGGGGTATAGCACGAAAGACTTGGACTCCCTCTAATGCCTTCTCTGAGGCTCTCTGCTTTTCTGGAGGGAGGGCTGGGCTGGGCTGGGCTGGGGGGACTTGTGTCTTAATGAACTGCAACTCCAGTATCCTCACCGCCCCGGCTGTGGTGCTATGCGTAATACACCGCAGCCCCTAGCTGCGACTGCTCTGAAACTGTTCCTGAACTTCCACCGCTCTCGCTGCGACTCAGCTGGGGGGGTCCTGCTGCAGTTCAGTCCCTGGGGGAGGGGGCAGGTTTTGTCTCATGATGAAATGAAAGTCTCTTTAAGGTAGGGTTACCATATTTTAATTTTTAAAAAGGAGGACACTCCATAGGGCCTCGGCTCCGCCCCTTCCCCACCCCCAGCCCCACCCCAACTCTGCCCCCTCCCCTGAACGCTCCGCCCCCTGCTCCTCCCCCTCCCCTGCTTCCCGCAAATCAAATGTTCACGGGAAGCCTGAAACAGGGAGGCAGAGGTAAGCTGGGGCTGGGGCTGGGGCTGGGGCTAGGGCGGGGTGTGGCGCAGCCCAGTCCAGCCCCCCCTGGCCGAGCGGCTCCCTCTGGTGGCCGGCCGGCCCAGGCCAAGAGGCTCTGGCCCCAGCATCTCCCGCCCAGCTCAGCTCGGGCCCTGGGGCGCCGGCCCCCGGCCCAGCACCCGCGCCCCCGGCCGAGCACCGCGCCCCTGGCCGAGCACCGTGCCGGCCCCAGCCCCTGCCGAGCACCGCTGGCCCCGGCCCAGCCCCGCACCGCCTGCCCCAGCCCCGGCCAAGCACCACCAGGCCCTTCCTCCCTATTTTCCCAGACATGTCCGGGAAAATTCCGGACGTTATCGGTAACCCGTATTTAAGGGGCTCGACTAGGGACCATTTAAAAACAAACAAAACAAAAAAACAAG